GTAGTTGGGGATTGTTAAGATAGAATCCAACTTATTAGTAGAGCACCACGTTCCAGTGACGACGATTGCACTTGAAGTGCTCAAGTGTGCAATCATGTTTAGAAAGTATAGTTTGTTGTTACTGGATCTCGCATTGGGTCAGGAGTAGAGAAAACGGTATGTGGGCGTTAAGATGACTCTTGGGAACATTTGGTAGGATTGGGAATTGTGAGGTACGAATTTGTGGTATAGAAGGTGAACACATATGAAGGGCGGATGTAGTCTCTAATGCAGTTAAGCAAATGGGTGTGTTGTCGGTCAGGATCACTGGTATTGCTGTCTGAAAATGGAGGGTTAATGCACGAAAGGTGGGGATTTAATGCCACTCGTGTCATGTGTACAATCTGCAGCAAAAATGAAAATAGATTGTTTGCCTCTATTGGTTGTATCAATGATGGGAGTGGCTGTGGTACCACTCCCGCATGTAATAAAAAAGGATTGTAATTCAGTGGCGAACTGTGAGGGGACATGCAAGTCTGGGGTCTGGCAGTATGTACTGTTGTCCGATGTTCAGTAAACTTCAGGTAGTTATTTCCTTGTTTACTTTTGTACATGTCCGAAGACGGAACAGAGTGATGTTGGATTGGTGGTTGACAAATAAGGTTGGGCAGAAGACAAGTTGCTCTGGTTTTTCTTGAACTGGGATGGTAAGTATTGTGGTATTAAGTACTATTTTGACGTATATTCTTAGTAACTGTCGGCTTTATCGTACTTAACTATGTCTTGTGGGTATCAGTCGTCGAAAATGTTGAACAGTTGACGTTTGGCGGTCTCATGCTTGTACCTTAATTGAGGCCGTTTTCACTAGGCTTTGCTTCACCGATAGAATTTTGTAGAGCTGATATATCCATAGAAATAGTGTGACTGGGAAGACTAGTGTCAGAATCAGGAGTTTCGGCACTGATCTTTGGATGCACAGAGCGTTTTGTGATTGGACCTGAAGCCATAGAGTTCAATGTAGCTGACCTGACACAGGAACTATCGAGGTCCACATCAGAAGCCCTGGATCCTATGCTGTGTTACTATTCAGAGGCTTGATAAAGGGGTATACTTTTTTCTGAGCATCATGTTTCTTTCGCATACTATAATCAAGAGTCAGAAATGCACGTTGCGGTGGTGTACGACCCGGACTAATCAGCAAGTCATTGAATTGATTCTGTTGTGTGCTGACTGATTGACTGTGGAATAATTGGTCTGCTGATTCTTATTCGAGAATCTAAATATGATGGGATAGCAATGTTTTGGAGTTTTCTTTTTTAGACGTAAACATTTGCAATTCATCTTGAGAATTTTGCAAGCCTTCAGTATAATACTTTTAGCTTTATCTAAACTGAATTTGTCCGGTATGTCAAAGACAATCATATTTTTCCTTCTGTGGGATTGCTCGTTTACCTCAGATGCAATTAATTATCCTGCTTTCTTCAATAGTGCCGGATCGGTTTTGTCCAAACGGTTGCTAATGCAATCCAATGATAATAAATGCATTCTGTGGGGTCCAATAAATGTCAACGCTTTTCGCATTTCAGCAAGTCATGATTCCAGTGAGCAGATTTTGTTAGTAAACTTTGTGATAAGCTTAGCGTTTGGAATGGAGCTAACTTGTGATCCAGTTATTGTTTTGTTTTTTAAACGTGTGATTCGTGGTGTGGAACATGCACTGCCCTTAGTCTGTCGAACACGATTGGGTTTTGTCAGGCCCATATTGGATTACGCCTAAAGGCAAAACAGGAACTGTGTGGGAAGGATTGGTTAACAGGGATCAAAAGAAGACTGAGTTCAGCAGAGTTCACTGGTTAGTAATACTGAGATAAATAAATAAATGTGATGTTTATTCTCGACTAAGCGACACACGCTTGCATAGGCATGATCATGTTAAGAGTACAAAATGTGATCAGTTAAATGTACAATGGAACAATGGGATTGTCGCATATTTTGATATACAAATGTATGTAAGTGTGCATGTAGGCGTGTTTAGGTGTGTTTATGGGATTGCTAAATCCCCTACCCTTTTGCTTGAATGTGTTTGAACGTGTCGCTAGTGCTAAATGGATGCTTGCTGGCTGTGGACTTGAAGCGCTTGTCCGGATAGGCAGTGGGTGACTTTAGTTGGTGGCGACTCACAACCGCCACGTCACAGTGTTGTTACACGGACATTTGTGACTTTTTATAGAACGAACACTTGCCAGGCGAAACCCCACCACGTCCTGGAACACCGCCGCTGAGCTATTTGCTGGAACGTGTTGAACCCGAGCCACCCAGCTGGCGCCACGGGGAAGTCATGTTTGCCATTGGCAATGGTCGAATCCAAGTGTGAATCCTTTCTAAACTTGATATGCGTATACAGGCGATATATGGATGACACCTTGGTGATTGCCCAAGTGCAGAGACTGTTCAGTCTCTTCTCAGCTCCTTCAACATTGCTCATCCCAACGCGCGTTTCACATGTGAGCTAGAAGATAACAATTGTCTTGCTTTTCTGGTTGTATTGTTGACAAGACGAGACGATGGCTCAATAAATGCTCTGTTTATATGAAAGCTACATGGACAGACCTATATGAGAACTTCGGTAGCTTTGCGCCGTTCCAATACAAACGTTGTTCGATCGTGCCCGTAGAATATGCATTGATGACTGTGTGGAGTCGGAATTATCGTTCATCACACAGACATTACGAGCCAATGGATATCCAGAGGCATTCATCAGATTTCGCAGTCACTTGAAGGAAAACAAACCGAGAGTGCTTACTGTGCCCAAAATGCCTGTATATTTACAGCTATCTTTCAAAGGTTATGTGGTGATGACGCAAATTAAACCACGGGTGGACACAGCTATTCGCCTTACATTCAACGCTGCCAAACTCTGTCCTATCTGGACAACCAAAAATCAGCCCATGCCCTCAATCAAACCTACTCAACCGGTCTCCGTCACAACTTATTGCATTTACCAGTTCGTCTGTAACTGTAGAAGCAGTTATATTGGCAGAACTGATCGTTGCCTGAGTAAACGGATTGGAGGGCACATTCCGAAGCGAATTGCTGCGCTGATGGCACAACAAGCAACCGGACAAGGAGCAGCAGGCAAACTACCGGCATCATCCATCGCTAGACACCTAGTCAGTACAGGTCATCAAGTTGACCCTGGGTCAACTTTTACGGTTATCTACCGAAACGAAACGCCAGGGTGCTGAAGTTTGCCGAGGCTGTGGCCCTAAATCGTTACCGTCCCACCCTTTGTGTGCAAAAGCTACTGACAGTAGCTCTTAAGCTTCCTTGAGGTTCATAACCTTTGCCCCAGCACTACCGGCTATTGTTTTGTGTTTGTGTGTATTTTTACCGACCAATTCATATCTATATATGTTGTTAGTTTGCAAGTGATCAGATAACATGAAATGGTGACATCTGCAGTGCTCGTCTTCTTATTGTTTTGTTCGGACTGGTACAGGGAACACGATGCTTTAAAAGACAGATGTATTACCACACCATCTTTTGTGTGCTTGTTACGGAGAAACACCACTAGTCAGCTCTGAGCAACTGTATAGTCGTATGGGACACCGCCTGGTGATCATCTTCACACAATGTGTAGGCTTTGAAGAACCCGCTGTGAACTGTCACTTTGGGTATGTAAGATAACCCGGTTTCTTCATAGTTCTTATATTAGTCTCGTGATAATAAGCTTGTGGTAAGAAGAACGTGCAGCTTGACTGTGTGCAGTTGATACCATCCGTCTCTCCTTCTCGGTAGCTGGGTTTATTTTGCCGTACCTTTAGCGTTTGAGTATCTGGTGCCGAAATGCAGCTATCCGAACGGAGGTCTGTTTAAGGCGCTTCACTTTTATCCTAACACAATGCAATTACGCTTTTGGTCAATTTCGCGGTATATTCACAGATTCCTACTTTAACTGGATTAAATCGGTCACACCCAACCCCTACATATAAAGAATTGTTGGCCTTTGTTTTTTTGCATGTACCAGTGCACTCACCTGCGGTGGACTATAGTAACGCTGTTTTCTCCCCTGCTCTCTGCGCTGTCAACACAGCTAGGGAAGAAACAAAACACTGAAGCCTGCTAGACTGATGTATATTAGGAAGAGAAAACGGTTAAGTTTATAGGTCACTTGCTGTCATCTCCGGCTGCGCGTTCTTAACTGACTCACGCCACTTGCTTGGACAGATTCCATACCTGCTAGCAGTCCTCACTGGCCAGCTGCAGTCGCGCTCACTCACGGCTGTCGCGTAGCAACCTGTCTTATGCTGACGGGTTGATTTCATCAGCTTCCTGCTTGACTTAGCCATGCTACAACAGGTCGGGTAGCAACCCGTGTCCTGATGACTGACGTCTCGAAACCGTTGCAGCCTCCGATCATGAAACTTAAGTCTTTCTTGGCGCCTTTTTAATTTCCTTTCTGCGATTTTGTGTCCGCAGTTTAACGAACAGTGGGGGCTGTTGTACGTTCTGAGGCAGCTCGTAACTCCCTTACTCCTTCTTTTGGAGCTTGGACTTATTGCCTGTATACTTTTTTCTCTTGTTGCTAAATTTCTAATAGAGGGAACTATTGGGACTTTTCCGAACCTCCGACCGAGGCTGGGTAAAGGCGCTTAGAACTGCCCACCAGGACAATCTAGTTTAATACAGAGGCACTAGTCCATCGCACGATGTGAAGATTCTGTCTCATTACATTGACCTGGCCTTCTACCACTTGATTACATGTCAGCTCTAAGCTAATGGCTTCGTCTTGGTCGTGCGTCCTACAACTGTACTTTGTTTTTCGTCTAATACCCATAGGTGAGCAATAGTTTTTTCCATTCGGTATTCCTCCAACGTACTGTTGGTGTTTGTTAGGATTGACCATGCAAAAGTGTTTCATTACCGTCAAATTGCACTCTGATTCGATTCACTATACAATTTCTTTCTATTTTTTTCGAGTTGTCTCACTTATAACCGTAATCCACTTGTGCGGTCTCTAGTTATCTCATCGTGACCCCGACCCCGGTCTTGACTTTGTGGTCCACCCTTCCGACATCTGCACAACTACCGGAAGATAGCAGCCCACTATTGGACTTGTACCGCCGACTGCGTGTGCTTTCCGTTTCTTGCGTGTCCGAAGCCGAAGAAGGTATTCTGGCAGCTTATCGACGTTGTGCTTATACCAGAGTGCGAGAGTTTACACAATTTGCCAAGCGTCTTCGACATGCGGATGTTTTCCTGTCAGCGCGTTTGGAGCTGCTGATTTGGAGTATAATTGTGGTGCCAGATGAGTAAGTTTCACTGTTATCCTAATTGCTAGACCTGTGAACTATTCACTTCGCTTCAACCACGAGTTTCGAACATGTTGTGAGTGTTCCATGCTACGCGTCATCATCCTCACCTTCAATATCTTTTCATCAATGCTTTGTACTGTCATATAACTGTCATATAACCACAGTAAACTTACCGGTGAGGAAAGGATGGGGACCTGGGATAAAAGTGAGATAACTCAAGCAGACATTAAACGTTCTGATGTCCATCATTGTTGATATCACACGGTCACAAACAACTGGCTACCACGGAAGGCTTCTTCTGGGGAGCAGCTTCCTTTCGGCTTTCCCTACCGTTCATCCTATCCAAACTGATCCCACAGATAACGACATTATGCAATTCCTAAACAGAAAAGCTGCTTTGGTATTGACAGTAAGCACACCACAGGCGTTAGTCGCCGGCCATGTTTTAGTATATCTCTTGCTTATCATATGATCCTTGTGAACCTCAGCCTAGGAGTTGTCATGGGTCAATGGTACAGTCTAGTGTGTCCTCCTGGATTCGGTAGACAAAACAAATCCTTCTTTAGTAAACGGTTAGCAGTCATGCGTCTCACGTACGCGAACAAGCACAATTTCCCCACTCTTACTCGTTGCTCCGAAGAACCTTTCTAGTTATCATCACTTGGTACTTGCCCGTCAACTCCATCGTTATGACACTTTGGCACTGTCCGACAAGCCAAATGATCCGCGCTTGACGTCCCCAGGTGGTAGAGGAGAAATTCAGTCGCCTTTGTTGTATATAGTCGTACCTATCAACAGGAATCCTCTTCTGTGGCTGAAGATGTCGCAGATATATGAATCTGTTCTCGGTTTTAAAATACGCAAAGTACTTTCGGCCGTTCGTTTCACAAGGTGAGTGAATTAAGAACTTATCTGCAGTTCCTCCTTGTTACGACACAACGGATATCGAGTGGCTTGTTATCATTCAACTGATACTTGCACCCCGAAGCTAAAAAGCGATTGCCGAAAGATGGAACCGCCTATTCCTGATTGACTGCGCTGTCTCGCGATTGTCAAGCAGCAGCGATTTGAGTAGAACTGGCACGATGTTGTAGCCCCGATGATTGCCACTTGATGCCTTTAAGGCGTTTGATGCGAACTGTGGTGTGTTCGTACTGGGAATGTAACCTGTTCACATATTCAGCGGAGACCCCCGTTTCGGGTAGGTGAACGAGGACGGATTTATCGACTGAGTTGAGTGCTCTTTTAAAATCATCGAAGGCGTCTGTGGTTGTCCTGATGTTCGTGTAACAATAGCCTTGCGCCACCGCGTGTAATCGCCCTTCGCAAATGGCATGGCATGGCATTCTGCAGAATTATGTTGCTGATCTGCTCCTCCATGTGTACTTTCCATATATACGCTTTTGTCTTCCGCATATTTTATGGGCCGATTCGAACCCCGCTAGCAATACTGTGGATGATTGACCATTGCTATGGCGCGCTTAGTGATTCTTTTTAGCCGTCGGTTTTTCATGTTTCCTCATCGTTATTGTTCCAGGTTCGTCATATGAGGCCTGCCAGAGTTATTTTTTGGGCCCCTCGGCGATTAGCTGATTAGCTGGATGGGCAGAGGGCTTCCAGAGCTACTCTTATGCCATTCACATCTGCGTCACCTATGTAGCATAGACTCGTGCTGATCTTCAGTCCATCAACCCATCAGCACCAGCCGAATCGAAATTTCATGATATCAGCTTAGTTCTGTAGCGCTTTCTCTTTCCTTACTATGCTGATCGATGTTAATGGCGAGGTTTGGTACAGGAAATTAATTCCTTTGCACTATAGCATTTGGTTGAGGTATTTTTCCACTCAATCGGAATAGTACGTATGTTGCGTACGATGCTGTTCAGTAAACATATCTACTGAAATCCGTGACCTGTCACTGATTCATCAGTTGTGTCATACTGGCTGACCATTTTAACCTGTCACCTTGGGATTAACTGGAGCCCCGGACTAAAGTGCATGCAACTCACAGCTCACGCTGATGATACACTCACTTTGTACTATTTACGGGAATTACGGGAGATATACCTCTGACCTTTCGTTATCGAGGTCCTTGATTGCAACTGCTTCCTTTACTCAGTTTACCGGTCTGTACTTCTGACCTACTTTCCGAGTAATGGCTCATTTGACCCACTAAATATTTCAATACGGTTATCCCGGTGCGATTTGTCATGAAGCCCCCTATTGCAATTAACGGGATCGTACTCAATTAGCGGAACTTGAATTTGTACCGCTATGCGTAGCCGCCAAGTCGTTCGGCACATTCAAAGCGGTGTGATTCAAGATACCATGTTGGTATACATCTCGTTCAGTGGATATGGCTGCTACGAAATCACTTGACCGTTGGGGCTACTACACATTCTCGAATAAAAGTGGTGGTAGTGACGAATCAGCTTGCGTATGTGAGCAGTTTCTCTCTGGCTGCCGGGCAGGTATTATTTCTAAGCGCAACGTGACTTCTGATAGGGTCCTCGGCATTTCCAAGCAAATGAAAGTGCCTGCAGTATCAAAACGATGCTCGTTTGTCGGCAGGTTGTTTGTGTACCGCAAGACGGCATCAGCGATCCCTTTGGTATTCCGTACGTCCTTAAGGGTTTACATGGAGCACTAGCTAAGCACGTTGCGGTCGCCAGTGTAGCTCGCTTGATCTATCTGGTTGACTTATCAGGCTGTACTGTTTCTGACGAGTTACACTTACTCTCTCACCACATACTACGGAGTTGTTAGGGTTTGATCTTTTCAAGCTTAACCGTACATTGTCTATCCAGGCTAATCATTGACGCGGCCGTATGGGCTTCAATGTCGTCAGCATATCTCGTCTTCGCATGTGGAATCCTTCAACTCCCACCTTTTATAAGCGAAAGGGCATCGAGCAGATCAGATCTAATCAGTTTGTGCCTGCACCGTCTGCCTGACACATGGATTGTCTTAACTAATTGCTAGCTGACGGGTTTTCATGGCTTACTTACTTTCTTGCTTTGTTTTCCCCACCAAATGGCTATTTGTCCAAAGCTTTGGCTCTTCAGCAAGATCACTCACGGTTTGTTCGTCATTCATGTCCCCATTCTTCTCTGGTTTTCATCTTAGCAATTTATGCACTTTTGCTTACGGAGCACCTGACCATCAAGTCGAGGCATCGGTGCCCTCTATCTAGTAGTTGTGGATTAACTTTCACCAATACTTTACTTCGTTGCTCCAATGTTACTTGGTTAAAAATCTCATTGTTAAGTTAGTTTTCACTTTACACCACTACTTGCTATCCATGCTAGCCTTGGTTTCAAACTGCCTCTTCGGTTGTGCTGTTATACTTTCCCTACCCATCGATCATTCTGTATGCGCTAACCGTTTCGCTTCTCCAGTTCAGAGACAATAAGGCAACCATCTTATTGTACAAAGTTGGTTAAGCGACACTTTTTGCACAACCCGTCAGTTCGTCGTTAAATGAGCCTACTGTCACTGGGTTTAGAGCACCAGCTGTGTGCTTGGGTGGCGACACGCAACCACATTTGTGACCACCTTTCGCTTTGCAGTGAACCTCGTTGATTCCGATCACTGGGACCCTCCATCTGAAATGGAGAGTTTCCCGCTCGCTACACCGCTCATTCTACTCCCTTCGTTTCTTTGCTGTTGTGCCACCATTCATTCAAAATTCTGGTTGACGATATTCGAGCTTGTGAGCCGGGTACCGGCGCCGCCGTTGTACTCATTCGTGGTGCCTTTGTCCTAGTTGATGGACCGTCTGTGTGGTTTTACATCCACTTTCCTGAATCCAGGCACAACACAGCATTAGATCTGGCTAGTATTTCCCTTTAGTCATCTTTGTGATATCACGGGAACCAACGTGGGCCTTTTTGCGTTCACCCTCATTCGTGGAACGACTCCTATGAGTAATATAGATGAATTCATTTCCGGCCACCTGTGTGATCTTTATTAATATCCTATCACCCTCCGATAATCGTCCAGCTGTCTCCTGAGCTTTTCAACACTACTGCTCGGTCAGTGGCTTAATTTAAATGGAACACATCGGTAGTTACAGGACATAAAACACCATGATATAAACACCTTTTCAGGGTCAGTACTCTGAGGAATTAAACAACTGTCATGACCGAGAATGAGTGATGTCTTTGTCCCGTATAATAGTTCGTTCAACCAATGTGCATACGACGCCGCTCCAGCTGACAAGACATTACTCTTTTACCTATCTGCAATAGGGTCAAATTGTCTGTCCATTGAAGGCCCGAAGTTAACAGGAAAGAGATTTTGGTCTTGCGGTTCGCTTTACCACTCGGGATTAACCTCGGTCAATATCTTCGCTTTAACCTTCTTGTAGACTTACTCAAGATTACCCGTAACACTTCTGTTTTCTTTGACCTTTTAGTTTCGACACTAGTGTTTATATCTCACGTATACTTTGAGTAGATTCATTAGCTTGTAAAGCATTGTTTCCTTGCCCATTTTTCGCTGGTTGAGTGATTCATTTAATGAATGTCTAAAGTGACTATCGTAATTGGTGCTACAACGGAGCTTTAATCTGTGTCTCTCATTGTCACCGTCGCTTTCTTTTGTCATTCGGCTATCATTCTCGACGGGCTTCGTGTAGTTGGTTATCCGCTCTACTCTTTATCTTTCACCTCGACATTTACTTTGTCTCATTATATTTGAATACAATACTAACCGGTTTTTCATGCCATCTGTTGGTTTCTTCTCGTAGTTTTGACGCAGCACTCGAGCACATGGGTAGTGCAGTCAAAGAATTGGATCTTGGTGAGCTTTTTTATCGATATATTGACATTTATGACTGGTTTACCTGCCGCTGTCCGCATTCGAACATGCTTTTGTGTCTGTCTTACACATCAGGGGTAATGTGTCACTTTTGTACGTACTATTGATTACTCCATTGCGCACACACTTTTTGTCCTGATGATTGTGCCTCTATGGATGAACATCCCTCAACTTCAGTCGTAAACACCAGTACGAAATGTTTGTTGACTGCATGGGCACCCTTCTAGTCGTGCTACCGAGGAGCAGTAACTGCTCTCAATCCCTCCCGTTATCCATCCCATGCTTTTATTAGCCCTACCCTCCCAACAAGCCTTACCAGTTTGAAGTATTCTGCACTTCACCGAGTAGATGTCTCTTGCTTAATCGCTATCCGAGGGTGCACCGCAGTGTGATTGGAACTGCTCGTTTGTGAAGCCGATTCCAGAGGGCATTGATCCAACCAAGCTGAACAATTGCTGGCCAATTTGTCTAACCTTCGTTTTGGCCAAGGTTCTCGAGATCATGCAGAAGAATCTGCTGCAGCTGCTGAAATCGAAAAACATGATGCATGGACAGCTCGGTTTCATGAAAGGCGGCTCATGCGTCACCGAACTACTGGTGACGCGGCTCGAACAGTTACAGGCAGTGAACCAAGGAAAGTCTGTCGACGTGATCTCCATTGCTTTCAATAAAGCGTCCGAAAAAGTGGACTATGAGATCCTTTAACGCAGTCAAAGCGTGCGCGGTGTTGGTGACTTACTACACCAGTGGGTCAGCAACTTTCTTATTGGGCGGAAATGGAGTGGGCAGTTGGATGGTCATGATAATAATTATAATTATAATAATAATAATACGTATATTTCTGTCGTTGCGAGAAACTGTAGTGGCACAAATCCATTTGTACGAAAATATCTATATTCTTGCATGTTCAATATGCGTAGATGGAATATTGGGGTATATGTTTCATGCACTTACGTTATGGTGGTTGGTTTAGGTGAAAGCCTTGTTTTAAAAACAGTGGTGTTTATATACTTTGGACTCCTCTTGGAATAGCTCATCGAGAGATTTTTCCCATGTGAATATAGTGCTTATGGTAGTTAGATCAAGGTAATTGGCGAGTCTGCTTCCAAATGTTGCCACATTGTCACATGACCTGAGTGTTATTGGTAGTTTATTCTACAGATAGCTATGTATGACCAGGAAGAAATTAGAGCGGACGTTCGTTCTAGCCTTTGGTATATTCAGTGTAAAACCTTTGTTGCGAAGCGCTCGAGTTGAGCAATGTAAATTCAGTGTAGGCAGGTCGGAATAGATCTTTTTGTGTAGCACGTTGAAAAGCAGCAACAAGTTGTACTTCAGTCGTCGAATCCATTGGGGTTCGAGTTGAAATTCATTGCAACGTTTTTGATAACTCATTTCAGAGTGCTTACTAATCAGATGTTTAGTAAATGACCTCTGCAGGTGCTCTACAGTATTTCTGTCACTTTCTCATAGTACCGTATAGTATGCTGCGGCGTTTGAGGATGGGGCTTGTGAGCAGCATGGGTTGTGTAGATTTTGTTGGATATACAGAACACAGATTATCTAACTGAATGACACCCCTCCACCAGTTGTGTGCCCCAGGGTATAGTATTGGGACTCATTTTGTTCCTGATCCACAGCAACGAGGTACCTCCGTTTCTTCAGTCATCTTGTGCGTTGTTTGAAAGCGACCTGAAGATCTGCAGAATAGTTGATTCTCCCGACGACTGCGACATGCTTTAGCATCACCTCGACCGATATCTACGTGCTAGTTAACCCAGTCAGGTCGGTGTTGATGAACGTTTGGAAGGGTGGTGATGGGCGTACGTACACTCTGGCCGGCAAACCGCTACATACAACACCTTCCGTGAATCGCCTAGGCGCACTATCACTCTACTATTTGAAATCCGTTGACAAAACGAACAATCTACATGAAAACGAACTACGCACGCATTGATCGCTCAAACGCACCTTCTGCGTTTGGTCTGAAGAGATCGCTACTCCTCTCTTTCATCATAAAACCGATGCTCGAGTACGGCTCACCTGCCTATTGTCTGGTCACACGTGGCGAGGTGCAAAGCCTAGAATAGTTTTAGCCTGTCGTTACCAGAGTCATCCTTAATTTACGGGATATGTCGTACGAAGACCGATGCAGGAGACTAGGGCTATACACTGTCTGATATCGTGGGTTTAGACTGGACCTCATAATGACGCACCGGATCTGGATCACTTTCCTGTGCTGATTTCGCTTCTGCATGTGGGCACATCAAAGGCACCGGTACAAGCATGTAGTACCGGATCTGAAGAAGATAACTGGCCCTCTGTGCTTCGAGTGTCGAGTGGTGAAATATTTTGACAGTTTACCAGCGACTATATATATATATATATATATATATATATATCGCAATCTGTGTTACAGATGTTATGCCATCAAAATCATAGCGGAATATGAGAACAGGATACGAATAGGTAAAAAAGAACATGCAACATTTTCCACTAGTTTTTCAATCACAGTTGTTGGGTTTTTTAATTGTTTGTTTTATTGGCGAAGGGAAGAGAAATCTCCGCAACACGCGGAGATACACGTCCGCCATTGTTTTCTGTCTTGAGCCATGACTTCCAAGTTCTCCAATCTGCGACACTGTATTTCTGAAATCCCAGTCAGGGAGCCGAGAACAACCGACTGGGGCCGACTATTTTGCCAGCTTTTTCATGTGACTTCTCCATGTTGTAGGTTGTCCACCGCGCCGTCTCCTGCAGTCCTGTCCAACAACCATGAACAACGTCCGACACGAAAGACGATGAGCAGGCATGCGCAGTACGTGTCCAACCCTCCCCAACTTACGCAGTGGGACGAGCTCCTCGAGCGAGTGGCTGCCTCCACCCAAAACACACTGTCTAACTTCCACATTAGTTACGTGGTGCAGCAATCACACACGGGCAATGGACCGCAAACAACGGTGCCCAAAACAGAGAGACGGCGCAGGTCAACGGCATGAACAGACCAAGTTTCGTAACCACACGACATTGCAACGTGGACAGTCGCACAATTACCCCGCCCTTTGATTGGTAGATTGTTATCACGGCGGCGCCACAAGTGCCTCAGCTTAGAGAAAGCATCGAAATCTCGTCTCCAACTGCTCCACAGGTTGTGATGCAACATTCCAGGAAGGCAAAAATCTGCGTAACCTTCATTGTCTCACCATCAAGTGAGTGCAGCTCCAGTTATCTGAAAATCTTGGAAAAGTGCTTTGCACTTGGAAGGGGGAAAAGCCATCCCATACTTTGACGCTTTACTCACCAAGCGGTTGAGTACAAGTTGGACGGCCTGTAGACCGTCACCCAGCAGCACGATATCATTAGCGTAGTCGAAGTCTACAGTTCGGCTACTTAGGGGTAGCTCAACGCCGGCGCTCAACGAATTTTCCAGAGCATTTTGAGGGCATCCTCGATGGCCAAATTGAGGAAGAGTGGGGAGATAGGGCATCCTTGTCGAACACCACTGGTGACAACAAACGAAGGCGAAAGCTTGCCATAAGCCTTAACTCTAGCCGAGGTCAGACTCTACATTGCACGCATTACGGAAACGAACTTCCAGGGAACACCATTCCTCAACAAACAGTGTCACAATGTAGACCTGTCCACAGAATCGAAGGCAGCGCGGATATCCAGGAACACGACAATCGTTGGTTTTTGGTACACATGGCGAAGCTCGAGGATTTTGGAGAATGTGAAGATTTGATCCATGCAGTCGCGACCAGGGCGGAACCCAGCCTGTTCTTTCCGCTGTAGCGATTCGCGTATTAGAGATAGCCTTCGAAGTATGATGGACACCAGTACCTTACAAACGACAGGAAACAAGCTGATACCCCTGTAGTTGGAGCACATTGTGCGCAGGCTCTTTCTGAAGATGGTGACGACTATGGACTCACTTCAAGATGACAGCATCCTCTTTCAGCCAGACTTCCGAAAACAGAGCATTAAGTTCGCGAGCCAGCGAATAGTCACCATCTTTAAATAAAGCGGGAGGTAAGCCATCAGGATCCGGTGCTTTATAGCGCTGCAAGAAGCGGAGTTCTTGCTATATTTCCTGGTGAGAAGGAGGATCTGTGGGGACAGACCACTCAGCACCAGTGAGCGCTCCAGGGGAAGCAGATGGGGCTGGTGGCCAGCAAAACTGCGAGCCAAAGTGTTCAGCCCATCGTTCCAACCGTCGTTGAAGATTAGTGGACCATTCTCTTCGCAGATCGGAAACCTTCGGTGGCTCGGATAAGATGGAAAAGTATTTTGGTATTACCAGAAAGATTAGCAAGTTCCATCTCTTTAGCACGTTCACACCATCAGGTTTCACGGTCCTTTTATAGACTCCTGCGCAATTCTCAATCTAGGGCTAGTCATTCTTCACTACAGCTAGAATCCGCCGGGACCGAGCGGCGTCTGTTCATCAGCGACAAGGAGACATCGGTGATCCAGCTTTTCGGTGGATAATTGATGATCACAACTATCAACGCTGGCAGAAACTAAAGCATTTTTGATGCTCATCCGCTGTGATTTCAGATCATCAACAAAATCTGGGGTAAGTAGTGTTGACAGGTATTTGCCTGGTATTTTGCTAACGTCATAGGGCCTTGTAGGTTTTTTACGCTCGGTCCGTAGTGCGTACGCTTAGGCGGTCCTTCGAAACGCATACATAACTGTGCGCGAACCCATGCTTGATCGGAGTTCAGACAAGTTGACCAGTACGAACGTTTGTCTTATAATCCTCCGCGCCATCTGTAGCTTATCGCGATGTGGTCAGACTAGGAGCACTTTTGCTTTTTAGAAGGCGGGTGCCATGTAGCAGTGTGTCTCTTCGAGTTTCGAAAACTAGTGCTCGAAAGAAACAAGCGATGATCAGAACAAAGTCAGTAGTCTGTCTCCATTGTTTGATCGACTGTTACCGAAGCCAAAACTACCCCGAAGATGGTGCTGGCTTGGCGTCA